TGGAACGATTCCATCAGCACTGCCTCCGGAAAATCCTGCAAATCTCTTGGGAAGACAAGCGGACAAACGTCAGTGTGCTGGAAGAAGCAAAGACCACCAGCATTGAAGCGATGGTCCTCCGCCATCAACTCCGCTGGTCCGGCCACGTTGTCCGGATGCCCAACCACCGTCTCCCAAAGCAGTTGCTCTACTCTGAACTCAAGAACGTGGAAAATGGAATGTTGGTGGGCAGGAAAAGAGATTTAAAGATGGGCTCAAAGCCAACCTTAAAAACTCTGGCATAGACACTGAGAACTGGGAAGCCCTGGCCCTTGAGCGCTCCAGCTGGAGGTCAGCTGTGACCAGCAGTGCTGCAGAATTCGAGGAGGCACGAGTGGAGGGTGAAAGAGAGAAATGTGCCAGGAGGAAGGCGCGTCAAGCCAACCCCGACCGGGACCGCCTTCCACCTGGAAACCAATGCCTTCACTGTGGGAGAAGATGCGGGTCAAGAATAGGGCTCCACAGCCACCTACGAACCCACAAAAATAGTCATCTTACTCGTCCAACGAGGGATCGCCTAAGTAAGTAAGTAAATAAATATGATAGAACCAATTGGAAAATGACATTGATAACCCAGGAATAGAAATCATGTTACATCGTGTAATGACGACAACAACAGAAATACCGGTTCTTTATTATGAGATATAGCTGGCACTTATCACTTCTGTAATTGCCTATCTTTCTGGAAAGGTTGCATTCCCATAGTTTTGGGTGTTGTTTTTGCCAGTGTTTTCCAACTCGCCTCCAAAGTGTGCTCCACTGGATGCCTGTTATGTATAACACTTCGGCATCAAAAGCCTTGTTTTCCACTGGGACTCTCTAACCTTTAGTTACCCCGGTTAGGTAACATGCAGCGGATTCATGCGTTATGAAAGGCGTTTTGTGTCCCTTGCTCTCCTGACCTCGATATTCCAAGTTACGGAGACGTTTGCAAGCAAAACATGGGCAGCAGGCGTCCAGGGAAACAAGGTTAAGAGTCTTCTTATGCACCTTGTTCCAGAAATAGGTGGGGAAAGAAGGTTGACCAACACAGGCAGCCTTACCTGCTTTCCTGCACTCCGGAGACATGCTCCAGATAGGCTGGACTGTGGCAACCCTCATCCCCAAGCAGGGTTTCTATTGCTTTTTGCTAGTTGTTGGTTCCAGTCTTAACTCTTAATGGATGGATTCAAGGAGTTAGTGAGTTCAGGCTTGAGTTCAGCTACAAAACTGTCTAGAAAGCATTGGCTCTGTTGCAAAGTATTGTGAGGAAGGTAATATATATTTGGGAGGTGGAGAGAAACCATCTTGTGCACCGGGATTGTGTCAGCTGCATTAAGATCACTCTGACCAGAAGGTCATGAGTTCGAAGCCAGCCCGGGTCGGAGTGAGTGTCCTGCCAATTGCGTAGCTTGTTGTCGACCTTTGCAACCCGAAAGACAGTTGCATCTGTCAAGTAGGAAAATTAGGTACCACCTATGTGTGGGGAGGCTAATTAACTAATTTATGAGGCCATAAAAAGACTCCAGCAAAAAAGCACTCCATGCAGGGAATGCGGAAGTACTTCAGAAAAGTTAAATAGCCTCTGTGTATGTCTGTATATGTTGTATGTCAATTGGCATTGAATGTTTGCCATATATGTGTACATTGTAATCCGCCCTGAGTCCCCTATGGGGTGAGAAGGGCGGAATATAAATGCTGTAAATAAATAAATAAATAAATTTTGGCTGCCAAAGTGCCTTCTTGAAAAATAGTAACAATAATGATGCAAATATAAGTAATAATAATAATAATAATAATAATAATAATAATAATGTGGTTGATGATAATAAACATAATAATTCATATAGACCTGGGATGGTGAGGATGATGGTAGTAATAATGATGATGATGATGATGTAAGCCTGGGACAACAACAACAACATAGCAGCAGCAACAACAATATAAGCCTGCGGTAATGATGATGATATAATATAAGTCTGGGGCAATGATGATCAGAATAAGGATAAGAATAATATAAGCCTGAGTCGATGATGATGATGATTATAATGATGATATAGAGATAATATAATATAAGCCTGGGATGATGATGATAATAGTAACAATGATAACAACAACAACAATATAAGCCTTAGTCAACAATGATGATGATGATCATATCAGTCTGGGATGATGATGATAAGGATAAGAATAATATAATATAAGCCTGAGTCGATGATGATGATGATGATGATGATGATGATGATGATATAGAGATAGTATAATATAAGTCTGGGATGATGATGATAATAGTAACAATGATAACAACAACAACAATATAAGTCTTAGTCAACAATGATGATGGTGATCATATAAGCCTGAGTCGATGATGATGATGATGATGATGATTATAATGATGATATAGAGATAGTATAATATAAGCCTGGGATGATAATGATAATAGTAACAATGATAACAACAACAGCAACAACAATATAAGCCTTAGTCAACAAAGATGATGATAATCATATAATCCTGGGTTGATGATGATGATGATGATGATGATGTTAGTGGTGATGATGATGATGATGATGTAAGCCTGGGACAATGGTGATAATTAACAACAACAACAACAACAACAACATAAGCCTGGGATGATGATGATGATGATAATATAAAACTGGATGATGATGATGATGATGATGATGATATATTCCTGGGTTGATGATGATGATATGAGCCTGGGATGATGATAGTGATGATGATGATGATGCTAATAATAATAATAATAATAATAATAATAATAATAATAATAATAAAAGCCTGGGACAGTGACCTTTCTTGCAAGGATGGGTCTATTGTGAGGAGCCAATACTTCCACCATTGCTGTAACTATTTTGGATTGCAATGCCCATCATTTCAAGGGCATGATGGAAGTTGCAGTCTTTCTTGCAAGGATGGGTCTATTTTTGTGAGGAGCCAATACTTCTACCATTGCTGTAACTATTTTGGATTGCAATGCCCATCATTTCAAGGGCATGATGGGAGTTGCAGTCTTAACACTGGACACCGGGTTGTGCATGAGTGATTGATGCCTGCAGTGGAAATAACATTTCCATAATGTTTAAGTTCTGGGAATTCATTTGAGAACGTGTTGCAAAGACTGGGTATTTGCAATGGATGTGAACACAATGGGACCCAATGTAAATCCAGCCAGAAAGACACAATAGAGAGTCAACATAAATAGTTATTTAATGAGCAAAATCACAAATCACACAAAGCAGCAGTGCAAACGACACCACGAGTTCAAACCCTATTGCACAATTTTGCTAGGCTACGGAAATTTAACATCTGCAAAAAAAAACCCCAATAAAAACCAAATTGGAGCCAAAACGTAATAAAAATTAAAAATCCATTTTACAGAAAGAGGTAGCTGAAAAACCATGAACGGAGGTCACGCTTCAAGTTCATTTAGTGCAAGTTTATTTAGTGTTGTTATATTTTTTTTAGAGATGGAACCACGCATGTCCTACAAAAAAGTTTGGAAATGGCTTGCAATTCTGAATGGGATTATTATTGAGGAATCGAGGCGCGAACCACATCCGTTGCCATTCCTCCATCTGTTTTGATGCAGGGCCTGGGAACAGAGGAGGTAGAATATTGCAGCATGAAAAAGATTCGTCTGCATTGTTCCAATCTCCAAAATACTCTGTTAAACCAATTCCTTGCATGTAGAAAAGTAGCAAAGCAGATTTCTCAATTTCTACTTGCAGGGAAGGATCGATAGGCAAAGGGATCTTAGTATGGGAGAGCATTTTCAAAGGGTGTTGTTGAATCTAAGGATCCCTTATGCTGTTCTTAGTGCAAAAAAGTTTTGACGTTGTTTTGCTACACTTCCGCTTGGTAAAACTGTTCCGATCCTTCGAATCATAGCATCAAGGGCTTTTAATGCACCAAGAGCATTGAATTAATGTATCTTCTAGGAAGAAATCTATGGCTCACAAAGCTCTCAAATATGGCCACCGACAGAATAGATGAGGCACTTCAGTCCAGGCATTCGCTGATTCCCATTTGCAGGTAAGTGCTGTTGGATAATAACAAAGGGATTCAAGGGGCTTATGCAACCTTTGAGTCAGCTTTAAAAGCTCCCCATTTAGCTAATGGACTCGTGATCTGGGACAACTTTATATAAGTCATCTTGCACAGTGTCTAGTTTCTAATTCTGCTGCAGCTTGGTTTCCAATGTTGGTGGATTACAACTCCCAGAATCCCCAAACAAGCGGCAATCCAGAAAGACCAACTGACCCTGCAGTTTAATAAGACTGACATCTGTCTCCACGTGACTCTTTGCGTCTACACTGACCATATAATGCAGTTTGGAACTCCATTATATGGCCACTGTAGAATCATACAATGCAGTTCAAATTGTATTCTATGAGTCTGCAACAGGCCTGGGCAAACTTTCTAACTTGTGGGACGCATGCTAGCACTCCCTGCAAGGAGGACTGGCTGCCCAGTGATGGAAGGAAGGAAGGAAAGGAGGAAGGAAAAAGAAAAGGAAGGAAAAAAGGGAGGAAGAGAAGGATGGAAGGAGAAAGAGAGGGAGGAAAGGGGAAGGAAGGAAGGGTGGAAGGGGAGGAGGAAGGAAAAAGAAGGAAGGAAGAAAGGGAGGAAGAGACGGATGGAAGGTAGGAAGGGAAGGATAAAAGAAAGAGAAGGAAGGAAAGACAAAAGGGAAGGAAGGATGGAAGGAGAAAGAGGGATAGAGGGAGGAAAGAGGGAAAGGAAGGAAGGGTGGAAGGGAAGGAGGGAGGAAAAAGAAGGAAGGAAGGAAAGGGAGGAAGAGATGGATGGAAGGTAGGAAGGGAAGGATAAAGGAAAGAGAAGGAAGGAAAGACAAAAGGGAAGGAAGGAAGGAAGGCAGGGAAGGAGGAAGGAAAATGAGGGAAGGAAGGGAGGAAGAGAAGGATGGAAGGTAGGAAGGGAAGGAAGGAAGGAAAGATAAAGGAAACAGAAGGAAGGAAAGACAAAAGGGAAGGAAGGAAAGGAGGAAGAGAAGGATGGAAGGTAGGAAGGGAAGGATAAAAGCAAGCGAGATGGAAGGAAAGACAAAAGGGAAGGAAGAATGGGAGGAGTCAGAGGGAGAGAGGGAGGAAAGAGAGAAGGAAGGATGAAAGGGAGGAAGGGAAGGATGGAAGGAGAAAGAGGGAGGGAATGAGGAAGGAAAGACAAGAGGGAGCGTCCACCTTACATCAGATTTCAATGCAGTTTCTCCTGAAAAGTCAAAGAAAGAGAAAAGTCTTCCCAAAAAAGGTTGATGTTCATTTCTGTCTTTGTTCTCTCAATAGGCAAGAAAGTGAACACACACACGCCCAAGCTTCGACACAACGGTGCGGCCGTTGAAGAACCGACTCCAGAGCATTAAGGCTGCGATTGAACTGCGCTTGAAGTTCAGATCCAAGACATTTCCTGCATTTCTCTCTCTCAACACCTTTTGAAGGACTTCTATGGTGCTCATGGTGCAGACGGAAAGAGATGCGCCCGTTTCCATCTCCGAATCACTTCTCTGTAAACATGATTGCAGCTCGATGTAGGGTCCATCCACACCTACAAGGCTGAACTTGGCTTAGGCAAACCAAATGAAAGGTACACCGCAAGCAAAAAGGTTTCGTTCCCACAACTCCTCGGCTTCGGCCTTTGGCACGGCTGTTGTCGTCGTCATCTCTGCAACGGAGTCAGCGGAGAGAGATGCTCAAGCACTCTGGCAGCATAAGACGGTTCCTTTTGGATCCTTGTTGTCATCGTCGAGACCTCGAACGCGACATGAAGGCCAAGACGCGCTTGATGCCGTTGAGGCGCTCCTTCAGGGAAGTCATGGCCAGGAACGGGAGCTGAGCTCGGCTCTCCAAAGGCAGCACAGCCAGGATCCACCAGCACCAGGAAGGCCCATTGGGGTTGGCCTGGAATACAGAGAAAGAAGGCTTGGCTTTAGGATAGGGTTGCTGTGAATCTTTGGGGCTGTATGGCCATGCTCCAGGTGTATTCCCTCCTGACATTTCACCTGCATCTAACGCAGTGTTTCTCAACCTTCCTCACTTTGCTACTGTTATGAATCATCATGTAAATATCTGATATGTAGAATGTATTTTCATTCCCTGGACCAAATTTGGCACAAATATCAGATACCCCCAAATTTGCATACTGCTGGCCTTGGGGGATTCATTTGGGAGCTGTAGTTGCTGGGATTTATAGTTGACCTACAATCAAAAAGCATTCTGAACTCCACCAATGATGTAACTGAACCAATCTTGGAACACAACTCCCATGACCAACAGAAAATACTGGAAGGGTTGGTGGGCATTGATCTTGAGTTTGGGAGTTGTAGTTCACCTACATCCAGAGAGCACTGTGGACTCAAGCAATGATAAATCTGGAGCAAACTTGGCACGAATACTCAATATGCCCAAATATGAACACTGGTGGAGTTTTGAGAAAATAGACTCTGACATTTGGGAGTTGTAGTTGCTGGGATTTATAGTTCACTCACAATCAAAGAGCATTCTGAACCCCATCAACAATAGAATTGGGCCAAACTTCCCACACGGAACCCCCAGGACCAACACAAAATACTATTTTTTCTGATGGTCTTTGGTGACCCCTCTGACACCCCCTCGCGACCCACCCTGGGGTCTAGACCCCCAGGCTGAGAAACACTGATCTAATGCATCTTCAGAGGTTCTGTTGGAAGTGAGGCATGTGCTGCTGCTCTGGGACCAGAGTGAAGAGAGAGGGGGCCAGGAAGACAGTTCCACCCTGCACTATGTTTATAATATAATATAATATAATATAATATAATATAATATATTGTGTATACTTATAATATTGATAATATTATAATGTGATACAATATAATACTAATAATACGGTATTATAATTATATATTTTATATTATATGTAATATTACTAACAATATTATTTTATTTATTATTTATTTATTTGCTTCATTTCTATACCACATTTTTCAGCCTGATAAGGCGACTTCAGCCTGATATTACATTACATTGGTATAGTACAATATAGTAATATATAATACTAATATTGTGCTATGGTATTAATATAATATATTGTATTTACATATTACTCATAAGCTGCTCTGAGTCCCCTTCGGGATGAGAAGGGCGGGATATAAAGGTAGTAAATAAATAAATAAATAAGTGGAGTGTATGTATATGTATATATATATCTGTGGAATAGTTTCCAGGGTGGGAGGAAGAACCCTTGTCTTTTTGAAGCAAGTGTGACTGTTGCTATTAGCAAGCTTGAATTACTATTGCGTAGCCATGAAGCTGCAAAGTCAATCAGTGAGGGTCTCTGCATAGAGGTAGCCTGGCCTTTGTGGTCTTGCCTTTGTGTCAGACTACACAGAGAAGTCACTGAAATCCACAAAAAGCACATAAACAATTTCAACAGAAAGGAGGAAACCATGAAAATGAACACAATCTGGTCATCGGTATTAAAAAAACCCCCACCAGAATCAAGACAGTAAACAAAGAACACTGCTCAGCAACAGGGGAACTCCAGACAGCAAAGAATCAAGTGCCAGTTAACACCTCCCAAGAAGAGGGTGCCTCCAGACAACAACAGCCAGGCTAACTATGCAGATAACCTCACTGATTGACTTTACAGCTTCATGGCTACTTAATGCTATTCAAGCTTGCTAACTGATACATTATTCCACAGGTATATATCAGCTCCATTTGCCTCACTGCCAACAGAAAGAACCTCTGAAGATGCCATTAGCCACAGATGGAGGAGAAACCTCAGAAGAGAATGCTGCTGGAACATGGCCAGACAGCTTGAAAAACTCACAGCAACCCAGTGATTCTGGCCATGAAAGCCTTTGACAACACATTGATCTTCAGAAGGTAGTGCTTTGCATAGTCGCTGGAGCATTTTCCCATTTGACAAGAACTAAGGACATTGGGACAATTCTCTTTGTGAGCTACAATTCCCACACACACACACACCAAGGCACAGGATCCAAACAAATCCTCTGGTTTAAACTCCATGCAATCCCTGGTTTACAAACATCTGACTTACAAAGTTAATAATGGGGCTGAGACAGCAGGAATTCTTGTACCTGTGGATCTGAATCTTTAGCAGGCATTGGTCCAAAGTGACTGAGGATACGGCTCTTGAGCACCGGCTTGAGGGAATCAAACCAGGCATAGGCTTGGACATATACGGAATCGTGAAGGACAATCAGCTCGGCGTATTCCTCTCCTTGCACCTGGGATTGGAAAGAGAAAGGGGAAATAAAGATGAGCCACAAAGCAAAGACTCGTAAGAAAAGAAGCAGGAATGTGTGTGTTGCGTGGCCAGAAGGACTAAAATTCAAATCAACGGAGACTTGACCAATTCAGAGAAGTGTGAGACAGGAATTTTGGCCTGCATCAATAGGAGCATAGTGTCTAGATCTAAGGAAGTAATGCTACCCCTCTATTCTGCTTTGGTTAGACCACACCTGGAATATTGTGTCCAATTCTGGGCACCACAATTCAAGAGAGATATTGACAAGCTGGAATGTGTCCAGAGGAGGGCGACTAAATGATCAAGGGTCTGGAGAACAAGCCCTATGAGGAGCGGCTTAAGGAGCTGGGCATGTTTAGCCTGAAGAAGAGAAGGAGAGAGGAGATATGATAGCCATGTATCAATATGTGAGAGGAAGCCACAGGGAGGAGGGAGCAAGCTTGTTTTCTGCTTCCTTGGAGACAGGGACGCGAAACAATGGCTTCAAACTACAAGAAAGGAGATTCCATATGAACATGAGGAAGAACTTCCTGACTGTGAGAGCCGTTCAGCAGTGGAACTCTCTGCCCCGGAGTGTGGTGGAGGCTCCTTCTTTGGAAGCTTTTAAACAGAGGCTGGATGGCCATCTGTCAGGGGTGCTTTGCATGCAATATTCCTGCTTCTTGGCAGAATGGGGTTGGACTTGATGGCCCATGAGGTCTCTTCCAACTCTAGGATTCTATGATTCTATGATTCTATTAATGTCCACTTTGGCCTTTATTATTTATACTCGCAATAGAAATCTGGCAAGGAAATCATGCCAAGATGAAGATCTAATAGGAATAAAAGTGAAAATCCCAAAATAGAAAATAAAGTTATTTGTGGATGACATTATGCTAATGTCTGAAGACCCACTCAAGGAATTTCCTGAAATGATACACTTGGTTAATCAATTTGGATTAGTTACAGGACTTTTGATCAATCTAGACAAAACAAAAATATTGGCGACCAAGTTAAACAACAAAGAAAAAGAAGAACTAAGACAACAAAGCAACATATTTAGAAATAAACATAACAATGAATAACAAGGATCCGAGTTGCATCGCAGTGGTGTGGCACTATTTTCCCATTGCACATCCAATAGCTTTGTCTGGCCAAAACAAATCTATCTCATTTGATCTCCTCGTTTCTAGTGTCTGATTGAAACAGAAATACGATTGGTTTTTGGGCAGCACTGAGCCTCAACAATATGCACCTGCATGGCAGGAATAAGTCTCCAGCCAGAGAGCTGGTCGGCTTGCATGAGACCATTTAGCATAGAAATACGTAGTCTATGCAACCACAAAGGATTCTGGTGCAGGAAATCGGTTCCCAAACCCACTGCAAACCCACTGCAGGAAATCGGTTCCCAAACCCACTGCCCACCCCTTATCTCACAGCATCCAATCAATACACACCGGTTGATCTTCAATGTACTCAATGTCTGCCATGTTGTATCCATCGCGCTGGCTGTGCTGGATCACTTTAAACCTCCTCTTGCCAATGCTGTCGACCACTGACCGCCCGTCGGCAAAGAATTCCACATTTCTGATCTCCAAGATGCAGCCGTATTCCGCAAACCTTTTTGCCAAAATAAAGGAAAGAGGGTTCAGGTTTTGCAGCTGGGCACTTCAGCAGAGCTGCAAATCACACAGTGCTGAAGAGATTTACTCGTTGTTCATTTGTAAACATACATTGCTTTTGCTCATTGGCCAGGTTGTAGTTACACTCCCATTGGACTCTCAAAAGCTCTTCCAACAAACTGTCCAGGGTTAGATAGACTCCTTCCTAATCTGCTATGGCTTATACTAGTGACTATTATAGCCATGCAACCTAACTACTACTATCGCCATAAAACCTAACTCCTAATATATGTATGCAACTTTACTACTATAGGCATGCAACCTACTACAGGCATGCAACCTAACTATTTCCATAGTCATGTAACCTAACTACTACTATAGGCATGCAACCTAGTAACTACTATAGACAAGCATCCTAACTATTGCCAGAGACAAGTAACCTAACTACTACTATAGGCATATAACCTAATTACTACTACAAGCATGCAACTCAACTACTTCAATAAGCATTTAACCTAACTACTACAGGCATGCAACCTATTTCGATAGGCATGTAGCTTAAGTACTACTATAGGCATGCAACCTAACTATTGCCATAGACATGTAACTTCACTACTACTATAGGCTACTAGCTACTACTACAAGTATGCAACCTAACTACTACTACAAGCATGCAGCCTAACTATTTTCATAGACATGTAACCTAACTACTACTATAGGCATATAACCTAACTACTACTACAAGCATGCAACCCAACTACTCAAGTAAGCATTTAACCTAACTACTACAGGCCTGCAACCTAACTATTTCCATAGGCATGTAACCTAACTATTGCCATAGACATGTAACCTCACTACTACTATAGACTACTAGTTACTACTATAGGCATACAACCTAATTACTACTACAAGTATGCAACCTAACTACTACTACAAACATGCAGCCTAATTATTTCCATAGACATGTAACCTAACTACTACTATAGTCATGCAACCTAACTACTAAAAAATGCCACCAAATATGACATGGAACCTTCCTGACAACTGAAATATGCAAAAGCTGTACCTAATTTGAAACGAATCATGCTACCAGTGTATTTCTCTCAGTCTCAGAGGTGCACCAAGATCCCTTTGCACCCTGACATTCCAGGCTAACAGGGCAATGGATTTAAATGCGCTCACTCACCCCTTGACAGGGTCCCCGGTGCACATGCCGAACTGCTTGGTCCCCGTCTCCATGCATCTCCGGATCATCAGGCGATAGCACGGCTCAAAGATGTGCAGAGGGCAGGGGACCGTGGGGTAGGCCATGGTGCAGACAAAGATGGGGACGTTCTTGTTCAAGCTGGAGGACGACAGAGCCGTGGTTAAGGCGCCATGTTTGCTTACCAGAAAGACCAACAAAAGAGCCAAAAGTGCAAATATTTAAATGGAATCTGGGAATTCTGGTCCAGAAAAGATGCAATTTTGCCATAAAGCCAGGGCATGGGGCGAACTATCAGTTGGAGGGAATGGAAAGGGACAATAGCCTACTTGGAAAACTCTGCAATCTCCTCTTCATAGAGTTTCCTCCGTTCCTTGAGCTCCTCCGGAAGGTACTTTGCAATGAGTTCCTCAATCAGCACCGTCTTGCAATGTTTCCTTCTTGCCAAATACTGCGGAAGACAAAGGGACTCCTCTTAAGCCACGATTCTGCTACCAGATCTTTCTCCAACACAAACTACAAATCCAAATGTTTCTTGGAAATTGCAATACCGGTGCCGTCAACACTTGCAAGAAAGCGAATACGAATGCATGCTACTAGAAGAAAGAACTACTGAATACTAACGTACCACCACATTTTCCAAATGTTATGTATATTTGTGAAAGCCAGACAATGGATAGGAAGAACTCATAGGAAGAAGGTCAACTAATTTGAAATGTGGTATTGGAGAAGACTTTTGGAGATGCTAAAACAGCCATGGGCAAACTTTGGCCCTCCAGGTGTTTTGGACTCCAACTCCCACAATTCCTAACAGCCTACCGGCTGTTAGGAATTGTGGGAGTTGGAGTCCAAAACACCTGGAGGGCTGAAGTTTGCCCATGCATGTGCTAAAAAAATCACTGTGTTGTGATTTTGTTGCCAAATGCCAATTAAAGCTGTGTGTGTGCCAATGTAGTTTGACCTCACTTTGCCACAACTCAGTGCTCCGGAATAATGTTAGTTGTAGTTTTACAAGGACTGAGTTGTGGCAAAGTGAGGTCACCAAGAGCCAGATCTTGGTGAGGTCCCTCCAATGGAGGGAGTGAAAAATAATCCAAGGAGAGAGTATCTGTGAGAATGGAGGGAGTGAAAAATAGACTAAGTAGAGAGAATCTGTGAGAAGACTTTGAAGCCCAGGTGCATTCGGCATGATCTCATGGTTACTCAGAATGGTAACCTAACTACATGGATGGAGACGGGGACCAAGCAGTTCGGCATGGTTTCCCTGTCCATCTCTGCTCTCAAGTTCATGTTTCAAGTGTCCTCAAGTTTATGTTCTGGTTCATGCCTTTGTTTCCAGGAAGGGTTTCCCTTGGAAAAGTTCCTGTTGTCTTGTTCATGGATTTATGCTTGAAGTTTCGCTGTGGATTTGGGTACTCTTGATTTTATGTATCCCTTACTTATTTGGATTATTGCTATTTCATTCTTGCTGATCTTCTACTCTTTTTGGAATTGCCTTCTCCCCCCTTTTTACCCCCTTTCTTCAATACACCTTTTTAGATAGAACTATTGGACTTGTGTGTGATGCAGGGTGAAAAGGTGTTCTGGTGCTCAAGCGCAACAGATAGCGCCATACTCATTGACTCAACAACAACTCTACATGGTAAAAGATCAATGTTGACACACAAGTCTTACCTCGGTGAGATCCTCATTGCAGAGTGGACACTTGGGGTTGTGATCCAGGCACCTTTCGAGGCATTTCAGGCAGAAAGTGTGTCCGCAAGGGGTGGTGACCGGTTCGTAGAAGAGCCTGGAGTTGGGAAGGGAAGAAAACCAAAGACATGATTTGCAGCAAGGATCGTGAAAAAGGTACCACCGTTTCCATACACAATTTACAGATACATTTAGAGGCATGTATTCTTTAAAGCAGGCATGGACAACTGCATTAATTCTACAGTGTAGACCAGGCCTGGGCAAACTTTCTAACTTGGGGGCCACATGCTAGCACTCCCAGTGATGAAAAGAAGGAAGGACAAAAGAGAGGAAAGGAAGAATGGAAGGAGGAAGAAGAAGAGAGAGAAGGGGAAGGAAAGAGGGAAGGAAGGAAAGGCAAAAAGGAAGGAAGAATGAAAGGAAGGAAGGAAGGAAGGATGGATGGAAAAGGAGGAAGAGAAGGATAGAAGGAAGGAAGGGAAGCATAAAGGAAAGAGAAGGAAGAAAAGAGGAAAAGGAACGGAAGGATAGAAGGAGAAAGAGGGGATGAAAGAGGAAGGACAAAAGGGTGGGAGGGAAGGAAGGAGAAGAGGGAGGGAGGGAAGGGAGGGAGAAGAGGAGGAAGGAAAGAGAGAAGGTAAGAAAGGCAAAAGGGGTGGAAGGATGAAAGGATGGAAGGGAAGGAAGAAAGGAAAGAAGGAAGGGAAGGAGGAAAGAAAGAGAGAAGGGAAGAAGGAAGGATGAAAGGGTGGAAGGGAATGGAGGGAGGGAGAAAGTGGGAGGGAAGGGAGGGAAGAGAGAAGGAATGAAGGAAGGAGGGAGGGAGAAAGAGGGAAGTAAGGGAGGGAAGAGAGAAGGAAAGGAAGGAAAGAAGGAGGGACGAAAGGGTGGAGGGAGGGAGAGAAAGAGGGAAAGAAGGAGGAAGAGAGAAGGAAGGAAAGAAAGGAAGGAAGGATGGGAAAAAAGGAAGAGAAGGATAGAAGGAAGGAAGGGATAAAGGAAAGAGAAGGAAGAAAAGAGGAAAAGGAATTGAAGGATAGAAAGAGAAAGAGGGGATGAAAGAGGAAGGACAAAAATGTGGAAGGGAAGGAAGGAGAAAGAGGAAAGGAAGGGAGGGAGAAGAGGAGGAAGGAAAGAGAGAAGGTAAGAAAGGCAAAAGGGGTGGAAGGACGAAAGGATGGAAGGGAAGGAAGAAAGGAAAGAAGGAAGGGAAGGAGGAAAGAAAGAGAGAAGGGAAGAAGGAAGGATGAAAGGGTGGAAGGGAATGGAGGGAGAAAGTGGGAGGAAGGGAGGGAAAGAGAAAGAAGGAAAGGAAGAGGAAGGAAGGAAGGAAGGAAGAAAGGAAGGAAGGAAGGAAGGAAGGAGAAGGAAGGGAGGAAGGGAGGAAGGAGAAGGAAGGAAGGAAGGAAGGAAGGAAGGAAGGAAGGAAGGAAGGAAGGAAGGAAGGACAAAGGGAAGGAAAGGAAGGAAGGAAGGAAGGAAGGAGGAGGAGGAAAGAGGAAGAAGGAAGGAAGGAAGGAAGGAAGGAAGGAAAAGGGAAGGAAGGGAAGGCCTTATTGAATTTAGAAGCTTTTCCTGGATCCCCATAGGAATCAACAAACTTAAGAAAGGAGAGAATTAGAATGTGAAATTGAAAGGGAAAGAGGAAGAAGGAAGGAAGGAAGGAAGGAAGGAAGGAAGGAAGGAAGGAAGGAAGGAAGGAAGGAAGGAAGGAAGGAGAGAAGGAAGGAAGGAAGGAAGGAAGGACTGTTTGGTAGGCTGTTCAGAATTGTGTGAGTTGAAGTCCAAAACACCTGGAGGGCCAAAATTTGCCCATGCCTGCTTTAGCAGAGAGGTTGACAACCTATTCCAGGTTTCATTTGAAGGCCATTATATTCTATCTCAAAGTATAAATAGATTCTGCAGACCTGGAACCAAACCTGGAGCTTGAATGTAAGAGCATCACCATTCTGTAAATATATATTTGGTGTCCTAACTGTCAGGCCATACAATGAATTTATGGCCGCCGTAAAGAAGAGAAATTCTACTCTCTTTCCTTGGGCAGATCTTCTTTGTTGGCGTTTGGGTTTGCCACTCGCTTACTCACTCCAGGATGTAGGTCAACTACAGTCAAACTAGGTTAATAGCAGCTTTGGTTATCTGGAGGTGGGGTCACCAGGTTAGTGGTTCACGGTCACACAGCATGTCGATTCCGCACTCTTTCATAAGGGGCAACTGCTGCGTATATCAGCATATGTCAAAATAACGAGACTTTTGCTGAACCTGAGAATAGAGTCCCAAAAATGCAGGCTACCACTTACTTGCATGGGAACCTGAACAATGCATGGATTCTACATCACCTTTGTTTCTCAATATACAGCAGTGTAGCTCCAGCCTAAGTCTACACTGCCATATAATCCAGTTCAAAACAGATAATCTGGATTTTATATGGCAGTGTAGAAGGAGCCTTATTGCCATGCTACCTCAGGCATGGGCAAACTTCGGCCCTCCAGGGGTTCTGGACTTCAATTCCCATAATTCCTAACAGCTGGTAGGCTGTTAAGAATTGTGAGCATTGAAGTCCAAAACCTCCTGAATTTTGCCCAGGTCTTTGCTAGGATCATCATCCAAGAGCAAAGTCAGTGCACAATACCAAGGGTTGCCTCTGAGAAGCAAATGGCCTCCTTTGCATCTTGGGAAGGACAACAACCTACAATGGATCCATTAACCACCATTAGCAGTGAATGCCATCCCTCCAGCCCACCCATGAAAAGAAAAGAGCACATACCTCATGCATAGAGAGCACTCCAGGTCCGATGGATCCAGAAATTCAACCTGAATGCTGTTCCCAGGATTAGATCCCTTTTCAAGAGTTGCATCTAAGAGGGCACAAAATGTTGGGCATAATATCATGGTGGACCAATGGGACATTTGCAACTGCACTGGTGCAAAACATATACGGTTAGCTATAAGACATTTGCAACTATGCTGGTGGTAAACATATGTGGTTAGCTAGGAGATATTTGCAACTGCACTGATGCAAAACATATATGGTTGGTTATGAGACAATTGCAACTGCGCTGGTGTGAAACATATGCAGTTAGCTAGGAGACATTTGCAATTGCGCTGGTGCTAAACATATGTGGTTAGCTATGAGACATTTGCAATTGTGCCGATGCTAAATATATGCAGTTAGCCCATGAGACATTTGCAAGTGTGCTGGTGCTAAACATATGTGGTTAGCTATGAGACATTTGCAATTGTGCCGATGCTAAATATATGCGGTTAGCTATGAGAAATTTGCAAGTGTGCTGGTGCAAAACATATGTGGTTAGCTATGAGACATTTGCAAGTGTGCTGGTGTAAAACATATGTGGTTAGCTATGAGACATTTGCAACTGCGCCGATGCTAAATATATGTGGTTAGCTATGAGACATTTGCAAGTGTGCTGATGCTAAACATATGTGGTTAGCTATGAGACATTTGCAATTGTGCCGATGCTAAATATATGCAGTTAGCCATGAGACATTTGCAAGTGTGCTGGTGCAAAACATATGTGGTTAGCTATGAGGCATTTGCAACTGCGCTGGTGCAAAACAGTTGCGGCTAGCTATAGGATGGAGACCCACACGAAGTGACTCTGGATGAATTTACACTGTTGAAGGGATGCTGTTTGGCACCACTTTAACTGCCGTGACTCCATGCCATACAATCCAAATCTAAAATCAGGCCCAAATCTGCTTACCCCTTTTGACTATTTTGCTGGGTGGGCCTGTATTTGGCCCCTCTTCCGAGCAGTGCCTCCGTTTGAGAAGTCTGCATTTCTCGGCGATGGGGAGGTTGGATTCTTCAGCCGGAGAGCCACGGTTGTTCTCCTCCGAGCCTCCTCTCTGGGTGGATCTTCCCAAGTTCTCAGTTATTTTCAGTCCTTCCTGGACAGAGATATTCTTATCTTGATCCACATTTCCCTGTGCAAAAAAAAAGGAGATAAAAGAGTTACTAGCCTTACCTCCAGCATGAGATTCTTTTGGAGATGTTTCCCAAGCAAGCATTCTGGAGCTCTCCAATGCTTCTCCCATCCCAGCAAGGAATGCGCACAACGACACAGAGCCATAGGCCTGCCTTACCTTGAGTAAACCTTGTAGGCTGTGGAGGAAGCCTCCAGATCCCACTGGATTTAAAAGATCCCCTTTCAATTGGGAGTGGCGAGACAACTGCTGCAGGATGTCAGGCAAGTTCTCTTGAGTGTTGGCCGGGATCCGTGAAAATAAATTAAGGAGAAGCTGCGAGAAAACACATGGAGACACACTTCAGGACTCAATGCGGCCACAAAGCACATCCTTTGAGCACAAGGAGACAGGAGAGGGACAATGCAACCTGTCCTGCATACCTTAAACTAACCTAGGTACATCTACACTGTGGAATTAATGCAGTTTGATTAATAATAATAATAATAATAATAATAATAATAATAATAATAATCTCTCTTTCTCTCTCTCTCTCTCTCTATATATATATAAATGTAATGTTCGTTTGTGAGAGAAACATAACTTAGAAACCACTGGATGAATTGAGACAAAAGTTTGATGCAATACACCTAACAGTCCAACGAATGTTCATCACCCCAAAAACACACACACACACACACAAACCCAGAACGGACTTAAACCCCCCAAAAATAAACCATATATACATATAGACATACACTCATATACATATACATATGCACAGATACATACAGACACACTCACACATATATACACACAAGCACACACAAATATACACACATATATATACACATGCACACACACACACATATACACAAGCACACACATATACACAATATGCATCTACACATAAACACAGAAATACACAAATGTACACACATATACATACAGACACACACACATATATACACAAGCACACACAAATATACACATACATCTACACATGCACACATATATACATACACACATGCACATATACATATAATACACATACATACACACATATATGCATATACACAAGCACACACATATACACAATATATATCTACACATAAACACAGAAATACACAAATGTACACACATATACATACAGACACACACACACACATATATATATACAAAAGCACACACAAATATACACATGCATATATACATGCAGACATACATACACACATATATACATACACACATGCACATATACATATAATACACATACATATACACAAGCACACACATATACACAATATACATCTACACATAAACACAGAAATACACAAATGTACACACGTTTACATAATATTTACACATATACACCTATACACCTATATACACATACACACACATGCAAGCACACGTATATACACATATACACAAATATATACACACACAAAACACATATACACAGACTGGGCCACAGCAATGTGTGGCAGGGGACAGCTCTAATAATAATAATAATAATAATAATAATAATAATAATAATAATAATAATAATAATCTCTATTTATATTCCGCTCTGTCACTCCCAGGGGAGGTCAGGGTGGATTACAGAATACATATACGGCAGACATTCAATGCCGTTATACAATTCACAAGGACAGACAATACATAAACAGAGGTAAAGGCTTTCCCCATCGTTTTCCATTTCTGGCATCTGGAGGCTGTGCTTGAGTCTGGCCATGAGGGTGCTTGAACCTTTTCAAGCTTGTTAGGAATTGTGCTGGTTTTGACCTATAAAGCTCTATATGGTTCTGGCCAGGCCCGTAGCCAGGATTTCGTTTCGGGGGGGGGGCTAAAAAATTTTCAGGGGGGGTTTCGGGGGGGCTGATTGGGGGGGGGGCTGAGTCTGAGTGAAAGAGGGTCTAGCCTAGCAAACCTTTTGTATCATTACCCCAACACCCCCATGCATATGGGATATATTGAGTATGGTGATCAGATCATGATATGAATAAACATAACAGTTTAAATAATGCACCAGTAAGGCCTTTTCGCGAACCACCATGAGAATTTCGGGGGGGGGGGCTGAAGCCCTCCAACCCCCCCCCCCCCCCGGCTACATGCCTGGTTCTGGCCCAGCTTACTTGTCCGAACGCGTCTGCCTCTACGTCCCATCTTCCAACCTAAGATCATCCGGGGAGCCTGCTCTCGCTTCCGTCAACATCGCAAATGCATTTGGCGGGGACGAGAGACAGGGTCTTCTCGGCTGTGGCCCCCCGCCTATGGAATGCACTCCCAAATGAAATAAGATTGACTCCCTCCCTCCTGGCCGGGGTACAAATGCCAGAAATAAATAAATTGTAGGAGTTGAAGTCCAAAACGTCTGGAGGGCCCAAGTTTGCCCATGCCTGCTATACAAAGTCAACCATTAAAACTGTTATGACTCTCCGCTCGCTCTGCTAATTTATGCCAAATGGAGACAGTGTTCTTTGATCCAAACGTGGATTGTATAACCAGTTGCACAACTGCAAAGGGAAGGAGGAGGTGGCCTGTTGATGGCATCATTGTTCCCGGCCAACGAGGAGACGCTTCCATTCAGCTTTTTCCTCACCCGAATCATGTTGACATCTTGCAGGGCTTGTTTGTAAACCAGCTCCAAGGCAAACGGGTTGGGTGTGTTTTGGAGAGCGGCAATGGGTGCATCCACATGGCAGGCTCAAGGAATGCAGTTGGGTGCCATGGTTCAATGCTATCGAACCCTGGGAGTTGTAGGTTTACAAGGCCTGGTGCGTTACCAAACTACAACTCCTATGATCCCATTGCTTTGAGCCTTGGATGTGAATCATAGAATCCTAGAGTTGGAAGAGACTTCGTGAGCCATCCAGTCCAACCCCATTCTGCCAAGAAGCAGGGAAATCACATTCAAAGCACCCATCCGGCCTCTGTTTAAAAGCCTCCAAAGAAGGAGCCTTGACCACACTTCGATGCAGAGAGTTCCACTGGTGAACAGTTCTCACAGTAAGGAAGTTCTTCCTTATGTTCAGGTGGAATCTCATTTTCTGCCATTTGAAGCCATGGCTCCATTGCATCCTAGTCTCCAGGGCAGCAGAAAACAAGCTTACTCCCTCCTCCCTATGAGTTCCCCTCACATATTTATACATGGCTATCATGTCTCCTCCCAGCCTTCTCTTCTTCAGGCTAAACATGCCCAGCTCTTTAAGCCGCTCCTCATAGGACTTGTTCTCCAGACCCTGGATCATTTGAGTCTCCCTCCTTTGGACACATTCAAACAATGGATAGAAAGACTGTAATAGCATCACATTGCATTCCTTCTATCAATTGTTTTCTCCTTCAGAATTAGGCAACGCTACACTCAGAGATGAGAATACCTGTTGGAAAGATACACGAGACTCACTCACCCTTTGAGCTTCCAATTTGGCCGTCCGATTTCCACTCTCCAAAGTAAGGCAGAACAAAAATTCATGCAAAGCGTCTTCCGTTTTCCCAAGGTTGGCCAGGGCCTGTCCCTTCCACAAGTGGCTCTGGAAGAGGAAAGAGAAGCCATGTTGTCTTTTCCTACCAAAGCCCAGCACTTGTGCCATATTTATGGTGAGCAAAATCCCTTTTAAGGGACATTTCGGCAAGCGAGATTGGAAACCCTTCCCACTCTTCCTTTCAAGGCACCCTTTGGCCAGTTTGTGGTTCTGTAACTTGCAAAACTTGCATAGACTAGGCTAGGTACAAATATAGAAGTTGTGTGTTATTGATTTCTTCCCACCCTATAACATTGAACATAGAGAAAACCAAAGTGCAGATCCAGCAGTGACCAGCCAACCCCCTTCCAATGCCAGAGATACAGCTTAATGGTGTCACATTAGAAAATGTGGAACATTTCCACTCCCTTGGCAGCCACCAACGTCAGCATCGACACTGAAATTCAATACTGCCCGAGCTCTGCGAGCGCAGCATTTTTCCGAATGAAGCAGAGAGTGTTTGAGGACTGGGACATCCATAGGGAGACCAAGGTGCTTGTTTATAAAGCTATTATCCTCCCACCCTGCTATATGCCTGCAAAACGTGGACTGTCTACAGACGTCACATGCAACTCCTGGAACAATTCCATCAGCACTGCCTCTGGAAAATCCTGCAAATCTCTTGGGAAGCCAGGCGGACAAACGTCAGCGTGCTGGAAGAAGCAAAGACCACCAGCATTGAAGCGATGGTCCTCCGCCATCAACTCCGCTGGACCGGCCAAGTTGTCCGGATGCCCGACCACCGTCTCCCAAAGCAGTTGCTCTACTCTGAACTCAAGAACGGAAAACTGGAATGTTGGTGGGCAGGAAAAGAGATTGAAAGATGGGCTCAAAGCCAACCTTAAAAGCTCTGGCATAGATAGCCCTTGAGCGCTCCAGCTGGAGGTCAGCTGTGACCAGCAGTGCTGTAGAATTTGAAGAGGCACGAATGGAGGGCAAAAGGGAGAAACATGCCAAGAGGAAGAAGGCACATCAAGCCAACCTCGACCGAGACCGCCTTCCACCTGGAAACCGATGCCCTCACTGCGGGAGATGATGCAGGTCAAGAATAGGGCTCCACGGTCACCTACGGACCCACCTTGGGGATTATCCTACTCAGACAACATGGGATGTTGTCTATTATGACGTAACAAGAGGTAAGTTGTGATATTTTCTATGATTCTATGGCCCCATCTACACTGGGTTTGAAACTGCATTATATGGTCAGAGTAGGCCCATGTGATGCAACTCAGTGCAATTAATCTGCATTATATGTCTCTATGCTGACCATATAATGCGGTTCCAGGAAGGGGTTAAGGGAGAGGCAGTGGGCAGGGCTATGCAAATTCCATACCAACACTGGGATGTCTGGGGTGGAGGAAACACATGAAATCTAGGAAGGAATTGTCCCTGTAGGAAAGCCTTCTCTTGGGTGGTGGGCAGTGTGATGCTTGTGGAGAACATTGGTAGGGCTCTTGAACATGTTTATGGTGCTTGGGTGGGTGGGTGGATGGATGGATGGATGGATGGATGGATGGATGGATGGAAAGATGGGAGGGTAGATGAGGTTGGGTGGATGGATGGATGGATGGATGGATGGATGGATGATGGGTGGCTAATAGATAGATAGGTGGATGGATGGATGGATGGATAGATAGATAGATAGATAGATAGATAGATAGATAGATAGATAGAGAGATAGATGGAGGGGTGGGTGAGTGGGTGGATGGATGGATGGATGAATGGATGGGTGATGGATGGATGAATGGATGGGTGATGGGTGGGTGGATGGATAGATGGATGGATGGAGAGTGGATGTCCTCAGTGTCCAAACCATTTATCATTTTGGTTGTCCTTTTCTGGGCATCAAGGTATTGATCACCACAGTTCGGACTGCAACCAGGAGCTTGTTATGACTCTTGTAAGACACCTTGAACCTAACTAGATGATAAATAAGTGAATCCCAGAGTTCCAGGACAGTCCTCAAACCTCCACAACAGGTTTAGATAGATAGATAGATAGATAGATAGATAGATAGATAGATAGATAGATAGAGATGGATGGGAAGATGGAACTGGGACTCACCTTTGCCCAGGATGGCTGGAGCCTGCAGGCCATTTCTGCATCGTGCAAGGCTTCTTTGCAATATTTCAAAGCGGAGTTAATTTGGGACCAGTTGCTACATGACGAATGATCATCTGGAGCTGCAATGGAAACACTGACTCAGTGCAAATGTCTTACAGCAGACCCTTCTCCCTCCTGAAGGATGCACGATGTTTCCGAACCAGGCCGTTCCCTTCGCTGTCTCGGGAACATCCATTACTTAAGTTTCAAATCGTTGACACCATGGGAGTTATTGTGACATTTTGTCTTATTCAACAGCTCCAACGGTTGCATAAACACGCGAAGCACCCAACTCGTGTCGCATCATACACTTTCTGGCATTTCGAAGGGAAATCTTGACATTTAGAGTCATTCTTATGCAAACACACTTCAGTACGACACTCTGCATGGAACGAACAGTGATTGCTAACTGACATTGGAACAGCATTGCCAGGAACAAAGCACATAGATGCCACGTTACATGTGGGATCGCATTGCATAGGATGGCATGCAGATCTCAGACCCGTTTTGTTATGAGAACGGCATGGTCTTCTTAGGTTATTCCCTACAATAGGGCTCAATGTTATCCAAAGTTTTGTGTGTCCATGTCAAGTCCAAAAGGGTATCCCATGCTTGAATGAGGATGGGACCAGCTCTGAACACGAGTCCTCCTTCTTCTGCGTCACAACAATTTTCTGCCCAGCCCTTACATTGCATTGCATCTACAGGGATACAGCCAACCAAGCACATAAACAAGCAGGTACTTCATGTGTTGACGAAGGCTTTCATGGCCAGAATCATTGGGTTGCTGTGAGTTTCTCATGTTGTCTGGCCATGTTCCAGCAGCATTCTCTCCTGATATTTTGCCTGCATCTGTGGCTAATGGCATTTTCAGAGGTTCTGTTGGAAGTGAGGAAAGTGGGGTGTTTGTGTATTTATGTATATACACACACACACACATATATGTACACACACACACAATCACACACACACCTGTGGAATGATGTCCAGGGTGGGAGAAAGCAAGTGTGAATGCTGCATAGCATTGAGTAGCCATGAAGTTTGCAAAGTCAATCAGTGAGGGTATCTGGAATAGCTTGAAAATAGCATTGAGTAGCCATAAAGTTTGCAAATTCAATCAGTGAGGGTATATTGAATAGCATTGAGTAGCCATGAAGTTTGCAAATTCAATCAGTGAGGGTATCTTGAATAGATTGAATAGCATTGAGTAGCCATGAAGTTTGCAAAGGCAATCAGTGAGGGTATCTTGAATAGCATTGAGTAGCCATGAAGTTTGCAAATTCAATCAGTGAGGGTATCTTGAATAGCTTGAATACCATTGAGTAGCCATGAAGTTTACAAAGGCAATCAGTGAGGGCATCTTGAATAGCTTGAATAGCATTGAGTAGCCATGAAGTTTGCAAAGTCAACCAGTGAGGGTATCTGCACAGAGGTAGCCTGGCTGTTGTTGCCTGGAAGCACCCTCCCTTTGGGAGATGTTAACTAGCCCTTTATTATACACTGTGGAATAATGTCCAGGGTGGGAGGAAGAACCCTTGTCTGCTTGATGCACGTGTGAATGTTGCAATTAGCAAGCTTGAATAGCATTGAGTAGCCATGAAGTTTGCAAAGTCAACCAGTGAGAGTATCTGCACAGAGGTAGCCTAGCTGTTGTTGCCTAGAGGCATCCTCTGCTTGGGAAGATGCCTCCAGGAGGAGGAGTCTACTGTATACCGTGCAGCTGCAAGGCTACTTAATGCTAATTAAGCCTGCTAATTGCAATATTCATACTTGCTTCAAACAGACGGGGGTTCTTTCTCCCACCCTGGACATTATTCCACAGAAAATAATGTCCACTTGCCTTATTTCCAACAGACCTCTGAACAAACTCCTGAGGATGCCCGTAGCCACAGATGCAGGTGAAACGTCAGGAGAGAATGCTGCTGGAATACGGTCACACAGCTTGGAAAACTTATGTGTATAGATAGATGGATAGATGGATAGATGGATGGATGGATGGATGGATGGATAGATGGATGGATAGATGGATAGATGGATGGATAGATGGATGGATAGATGGATGGATAGGATGGATGGATGGATGGATGGATGGATAGATGGATGGATGGATGGATGATGGATAGATGGATAGATGGATGGATGGATGGCTGGAAAAGATCCCAAGGGTTATGCAGTCCAGTGCTCTAAGAGATAGAATGATGGATGGATGGATGGATGGATGGATGGATGGATGATGGATGGATGGATGGATGGATGGATGGATGGATGGATGGATGGATGGATGGATGGATGGATAGATGGATAGATGGATAGATGGATAGATGGATAGATGGATAGATGGATGGAATAAATGGATGGATGGATGGATGGATGGATGGATGGATGGATGGATGGATAAATGGATGGATGGATGGATGGATGGATGGATGGATAGATGGATGGATAGATGGATGGATAGATGGATGGATAGATGGATGGATAGATGGATGGATGGATGGATGGATGGATAGATGGATAGATGGATGGATGGATAAATGGATGGATAAATGGATGGATAGATGGATGGATAGATGGATGGATAGATGGATAGATGGATGGATAGATGGATGGATGGATGGATGGATGGATGGATGGATGGATGGTATTTAGTGTCGCAGACGGTTCCCTCTGTGGAGTAGAAAAACTACTTTCCAAATAAGGACTGCACAATTAAACAGGAAATAACACTTCCAAAACAGGAGCAGAGACGTGTTTCACATTTTGTCACATAGGTTTATGCAACAAGTGGCATCCCATCTCTGGAATGTTTTCAGCCTCATCGCTTCGATTCAGGGAAGTGTCATTGTTTGGCAAAGGCAGAGGGGACATCAGCAAGTGGCTCCCGGCCACATTCCTGCTGCATTTTGCTACCATGATTCAACAGTATTTCCTGAAAGACAACAAAGCCCTGGCGATGATTGCATGCATTCCAAGGGCCTCGCAGAGCAACGTCATCCTTTTTAAGGCAACACCAAATCCTGATGCATTTTTGCAGCGGCGAACGGATCCAGACGGTGATTAAACAATTTCCCAAAACCTAAGTAAATCAGGCGTTTCTGTGACTCTGCACCTTTTGTAACCCAACCTGGGAGAGAAATTGGTAGAGTCCTCATAAAGAAAGCTCCATAGACTGTTGTCGATAAAGCACTCCTCCTATTTGACTAATACAGGCAGTCCCCAAGTTACCAACAAGAGAGGTTTGGTAGGTTTTTTCGGAAGTTGAATTTGCTGTAAGTCAGAACAGGAACATTTCTTAAGTGTAATATGTGTGTGTGGAAGGTAAAAGGAAGAGGGGCCGACCAAGGGCAAGATGGCTGGATGGCATCCTTGAAGTGACTGGACTAACTTTGAAGGAGCTGGGGGTGGCAACGGCTGACAGGGAGCTCTGGCGTGGGCTGGTCCATGAGGTCACGAAGATTCGGAGACGACTGAACGAATGAACAACAACAACAATGTGTGTGTGTGTGTGTGTATGTAGAATCATAAATCCTAGAGTTGGAAGAGACCTGGTGAGCCATCATCCAGTCCAACCCCATTCTGCCAAGAAGCAGGACAATCGCATGCAAAGCACCCCCAACAGATGGCCATCCAGTCTCTGTTTCAAAGTCTCCAAAGAAGGAGCCTCCACCACACTTGGGGACAGAGAGTTCCACTGCTGAACAGCTCTCACAATCAGTCTGAGGATTACCTGGGAAGGAATCCCACTGGAGCATTACAGCACACCCAAATACCTGGGAGTTACCCTAGACCAGGGGTCCTCAAACTATGGTCCGGGGGTCGAAAACGGCCCTCTAAGGTCATTTACTCGGCCCTCGCTCAGGGTCAACCTAAGTCTGAAACGACTTGCAAGCACACAACAACAACAATTCTATCTTAACAGCCAAAAGCAGGGCCACACTTCCCATTGAAATACTAATAAGATTATATTTGTTCAAATTGTTCTTCATTTTAATTATTGTATTGTTTTTAGGTGCTTTTGCATTACAAAAAAGATATGTGCAGTGTGCATTGGAATTCATTCATTTCTTTTTCAAGTTATAATCCGGCCCTCCAACAGTTTGAGGGACTGTGACCTGGCCCTCTGTTTAAAAAGTTTGAGGACCCCTGGTCTAATTAGTCTATTCTTCACTCCCTCCATTCTCAAATCTAATCTGGCTTCTCAGGAAAACTCCCCATCCGATGAATACCTGGGAGTCACTCGAGACCGTGCTCTGACCTACAAGAAGCACTACCTGAATATCAAGCAAAAAGTGGGCGCTAGAAACAATATCATACGAAAGCTGACTGGCACAACCTGGGGATCACAACCAGACACAGTGAAGACATCTGCCCTTGCGCTATGCTACTCTGCTGCTGAGTATGCATGCCCAGTGTGGAACACATCTCACCACGCTAAAACAGTGGATGTGGCCCTTAATGAGACATGCCGCATTATCACGGGGTGTCTGCGCCCTACACCACTGGAGAAATTACACTGCTTAGCCGGTATTGCACCACCTGACATCCGCCGGGAAGTAGCAGCCAATAGTGAAAGGACCAAGGCAGACATCTCCAGCTCATCCCCTGTTTGGGTATCAGACAGCACGTCAATGACTTAAATCAAGAAATAGTTTTCTAAGATCTACAGAGACACTCGCTGGAACACCTCAGCAAGCGAGAGTCCAAAAGTGGCAGGCTCAAACCCAGAACCTCAATCAATGGCTGATACCAAATGAGAGACTCCCCCTGGGCACACAGAAAACTGGGCCACTTGGAAGGTGCTGAACAGACTGCACTCTGGCACCACGAGATGCAGAGCCAACCTCAAGAAATGGGCACAAAGTGGAGTCCACGACATGCGAGTGTGGAGAAGAGCCAACCACTGCAATGCAGCCTGAGCCCTGCCACATGCACAAGGGAGGACCTTCTTGCAGCAACACCAGAGGCACTCCAAGGGGACAGATACTGGTCAAAGGACATTGAATCAACTACCAAGCTTGCAAACTTTGTGTTTTGTTTACTTGTTTGTTAAAAAAATGCAATACAACTGTTTGGCTTGCTCCTGATATGATAAATA